GGAGGCTGGGGTTGGGGGGACACGTGGCAGTGGGGACCTCCCCCCTCCCCTTCCAGGACTGTGCTGGGGGGATGGAATGGGGAAAGTGACATGAGACAGGGATGCCAGCACCACGCCAGGTGACAGTTGTCACCAGGTGGGTGACATGGGGCTGGAGGGGGGGGGATTTGGACCTGTTCCCTCTCCCCTCCTCTTTGGGTTGGTTCAGCATCACTTCGCCCACCTGGAGACCCCAGGAACGCTCCGCTAACGAACGGCTGCTAACGAGGGGTGGGAGCCTTCATGATGGGAACATCAGTGATCTGGGGGGGGCTTTGGGGCCAGGGTTCCTCCCCATGCAGCTCGTGCCCCCCCCCCCCCTGTCCCTCTGGAGCATCTCTGGGCTCGACGTCGCTCCGTTTCACCCAATGCTGCCATGGCAGTGACTCCACATGGAGCCCAACATCCCCGTGTTGGGATCATCCCAGAATGAATGCTCCATCCCAATGCTGGATTTCCCATCCCAGCACTGCAGCTCTGCAAGCAAAGAGGAGGAAGGAACTTTTTTAGGGGACGCTTCCCAACTGTGGGAAGGAGGAAAACCCTTCTGCTCAATGCTGTCCTTAATGCAGCTTCGGGAAGTTTTCCTTCTTGGGCACGTGGGGAGAATCTGCTGATTTCTCCGAGGAAGGAAATCCTCCAGGATCCCATTTCCAACCCAACGTCTGCTACGAAAACGTTGTCGCTATGGAGGGAAACCATCCGGGATCTCAGCTCCAACCCAAAAATACCATCGTGATCGTTTGGAGCTTTTGGGAACTTCCCCAAATTCCTCCTTGGATCGAATTCCATTGCAGTCGTTCACCCTTTGCATTTCTGCCCTGGAAGGAGTTGTTCCCCAAAGAAGAAATCCTCGCAGTCGAAGCGTTTTGATGGGAGAACCCAACTGGGTGCGCTCAGCCCTTAACCAAAAAAAAAAAAAAGGGGGTAAAAAAGCCCCCAAAAAGGCTCGGAATGCCACCAGGAGCCATCAGGCCTCGATGCGGATCTCTCTTGGCTTTCTGGTGGGGCATTTCCCCATCCTCGGCTCCCAGGGAAGGAAGCAATTGTCCCCACTTAACCATTTTAGCATTTAAATTGTGGCGGTGCCGCTCCGCCTTTGCATGGCCATGGGGCGATGGGTTGGGGGAGGGATGCTGCAGTGCTGCTCCGTCCCTCGCTATGAACGGGTGCTGGGGAGTGTGGTGAGACAACTAACTTTTGTCACTTTTTTCTTTCTTTTTTTTTTTTTTTTTGCTTTTTAGAGCTCAGAAATTGCTGGGATTTGGGGTTTTTAGATGGGTCGCGGTTGGGTTAACGGTTGGGTGGTTGCGACGGAACCGACCCCAAACTCTCTAAAGCTGGGGGTTTTTAGGATGGAGGCATCCACTGCCTTTCCCCGTGGGTTTCTGAGCTGCGCGGGTGGGTGTGTGTGGGGGGAATCTCCCTTTTCCTCCCCCATCGGGCTCAAAAACCCCAACCAAGAGTTGGGAGATGGAGAAGGGCAGCGGTTGGTCCCAATGGAGAGGAGGGACGTCAGCGCGTCTTGCAGAGGGAAAAACCCTTTCCTGAAGCAGGGAGGCTTCAGCTCCTTCCAAAAAACCCATGCGTGTGGAGGAGGGGAAGGAGAGAAGGGCTGTGGGATCAGCTCCAGTGTGCCCAGCGTTGTTTTTTTTGGGGTTTACCCAAAATCCAGGTTTCTTGCGATGTCGGGGTCGGTGCACGCCAGGATGCGGGCTCAGTTTGGGATGCTGTGCTGTAGGGCTGGAATGGCCAAACTGGGGAGCTGCATTGTGTCCAAAGGGGAAACAAAAAGAGCTCTTCAGGTTGTTTTGCTTTATTTCAGATTATTTTTCACCCCGGCGGGTTCCTTTGCAGGGAGGACAGCACTCGTTTTGCCTTTTTGCCATCAGCCCCTCCATTGCGTCACGATTTTAGGAATGGGGTGATGCGTTTTGGGGCGATTTCCCTCTTTTTGCTCCAACTTCTCCCAGGCTTTGGGTGAAGTCTCCACATTGCCGAGCCCTCAGTGCTGCCTGGGTGCAATGCTGCTCACTTCAGGTCTCTCTTTGCCACCACTTATCGCTCACGGCACCCAATGCTTGGCATGGAGGCAACGGGCTCAACTATGGGCCATTGTTTTCCTTTGGCTCCTGCGATGAAATTGAAGCCTGCTCTTGAGTTAAGGGTGGATTTGTCAGCTTTCTGGGGTCTGCTTTGATCTGGGGCTGAGGTTTGAGTGGTCCATCTGGCTGCCGATGTGATGGGAAATAGGGGGTGACACCAAGAGGATGTCCCACATCTCTCCGCGTCCTTCTGCAGCTGGATTTAAGCAAGAAAAAGGGGAATTTTCCACGGGACTGGTTTTATCCTGGCTGAGCATCTTCCACCCAGCAGCTTTGGGATGGCGGCGTTCAGTTCCAAAACCCGATTTGGAAATGTAGTCATCCAGTGCACGTGAGCATTGAGTGCCTTGGGGTCCCATTGGGTGCCCCAATCTCATCCAACTACAGGAGCTGAGCCCCGATGGTCTGGCATAACGGCGATGATGGCACCAGATTTGGGGGTATTTTTAGGGTTTTTTAAAGCTCGCTGGGGACAAAGTAGCCCAAGTGTTCGGGAGCTTTGCCCCACCACAGGGGTGAAGGCAGCAAAGTGGGTTTTTAGGAGGAAAGAAGAAGGTTTTGGGGTCATCGAGGCTCCGCTTGGCTCCGCCGCTCTCCTCCCACGGCCTCGGGCTACGGTGGCTGATAACAGCTCGAATAATTCCCTCTCTTCATTTGCATTGTTACCTTGAAGGTATTTATAGTCTCCCTGCCTTCTCCTTCCCTGGCTGTGTAAATTTAGCTCCTTGGCTCTCCCCGGGTGCCTTTATCCAGCCGATAAGCTGCGCTTTTTAGCACCGCTTTCTTCTTTTTCCCCGCCCTGCACCCGTGGCAGAGATCTCCCTTCCTCCAGGTGATTCTCATCCCCCCCTCAGTCCCCCCTACAACTCGTGCTTGCAGCACAGCACCGAGCAGCACGGTGGGTTTGGGGGCAATGCGTTGGTTTTAGGGGGACGAACCCACCTGGCTCGCTGGGACCCTTGGAAGATCCCCAGTTTGCTTCGATCCGTACGGTTTAACTCAACGTGGGGATAGAGGATTTCTTGGATTTGGGGTAATTCTGGTGTTGGCAGTGGGGTCAATGCCCACGAGTGGGGTGTTTCTATTCCTTTAACCCCGCTCAGTGTCTGCAGCATCCCAAAGACTCCCAGATTTTGGGAACCAGGGGGTTTTGGGAGTTCAAACCGCGCTCTTTCCAGCAGCGACATTATGGGACTTGGGTACTTCTGGGGGGAAAGAATGGGTTTGAGGGTTTTCTCTGGTTCGTGGGGAGGGTAGAGGGGATGAATGGTCCTAAAGCAGAGGGATGCTGTCTGTCTTCCTCTCTATAATGGGATGGGGGGAAAGCTTTGTATTGGTTGCATCACCTCCAGGATGGACCCGGCACTATGCAAAGGATGAGCGATGGGACCCAAAATCTTACCCAGGGCTTGACTTGGGAAGCAGCAAATAAGGGATGAGCAGAGGGGCAGCATTGGGAACAGCAGCTTGGATGGAGCCTGCTGGGTTTTCAGGAGCTGCTCGCTGCTCTCACAGCCTCCTCCACCTCGGTGAAGCCGTGCTCCTCTCATTTTCCCCTCTCTTATCTCTGTTTCTCATAGATTTTTCTGGCTGTCCCTGGCCATCAACCCTCCCGAGTCCCAGCGCGGTGTTTTTTTCCAAGTGACACAGCACAATCAGCAAGGGATGGAGAAAGCTGTCCCTACTTTATCAGAGCAACAGCGAGAGCGCCAGGGAGATGGAAGCAGAGCCCTGCTAATGCCACTGGAGCCAAACAAAGAGAATTTTGCTGCCCCCGATTGCCCCCAAGGTGAAGAGCGAAGAGCTGCTTTTGTGAAAGATGCAAAAAAGCCTCTGGAGAGCGCGGCTCTATCTGGGACATCGGTGGAAGTGGGGACGGAGCTCGACGAAGCTGCCTTCTACACCGCTGATGACTTGGTGACAATGAGCAGGGACACGAAGGGACCCTCTGGCACTGATCTCTGTCCCCTACAAGAAGACCCCGTCTTCTTCTCTCCGCTGTCTCGCCAAGAGCCCGACATCGCCCTGGAAGCCTGCGACGTGGCCGGTGAGTCCCCTTGGGTTCTGCTGCGGGCTGGTGGCATCTCTTGCATGGCCATGGTTGGGTTTGGGGGTTGTGTTGTTTTGGTCCGTTGGTTGTTTGGCAGCCCGGGTCTTGTTGGTGTTGCCCAGCTCTGGTTTGTGGTGGTTCTTTCCTTGTGTGGTTTGGAGACGTTTTTGCCACAAGATGTTGAGGATTTGGGGAAATGGAGCTGCGGTGGGGTGGGAGATGTGTGGATTTAAGGCTTTGGGGTTGTGGTAAAATGAGAAAGCTGAGTGTACTTGTGTCTGGGTTCAGCACCAGAGAGGGGCGTGCCAAACCCCATTAGGGCCTTATTGGGGGACCGTAAATGGGATGCGTGCCATCACCCTCACTGGAAGGGCATGAGGTGGCCAGGGACCTGTCTGAGGATCTCTGGTAACCCACTGAGGCCACATCTCCATCATTGAGACTGATGGCACCAGGATCTGCTCCATGGGAAGAACCAACTCTCAACAGCTGGCCATCTTGAAGCAGGTCTGATGTTTGGGACCCACCGTGTGCCCCAAAAGCTCTCACAGATGTTGGGTTGCAGCCATGTGCGTTGTGAGCTTGGGAGCTCAGGATGCACCTGGGCAGCGCTGAGCCCCTCTTGCTGCAGCAAACCCAACTTTCGGGCATGCTTGGTGAGTCAGATCTGCCATCTGTGGCTGCTTTCGGGTGTCTTTGGGGCTGAAACACCGCCGCCTGCACCTGGTTGGGTTGAGCACCTCCGTTACCCATCGGTGACCCCAATGGAAAATCCTACTCCAAGGGCACTTGGATGTGTGCGAGCAATGCTGCTGTGCTTTTGGGATATTTTCTGTGTTTTCCCAGCTCTGTTCCTGCAGGGCAGCCCCTCACAGCTGCTGCTTTTCCCTAAATCCCTGATTTTCCAGCATCTGCCCCTCGCCTGCTCTGAGGATGTCCCTGTCTCTGTACCATCCCTGCATCCTCCAAAACTTTTGTATCGTTTGGATGCCGAGTGCTGGCGGGGTGCTTGCGTCCATCCTGCACGTTCACAGCCCTCCCTTCCTTCCCTCTTTCCTTCTGGGATGCTGGCTGGTGATTGGCCTTGTTAATTAACTCCTGTTTGGAAGGTGGCTCTCAGTTCCTCCGCTGCGGACGGCGGGTGGAAAATTAACTCACGGAGGGGGAAGGAGTGTTTGAAGAATGAGCAATGCGGGGCAGCCGGGCGTGAGGTTTAGGGCAGGGCATTTTCCTCCTGTGCTGAGCTGGAGGGCAAATCCTGCTTGGTGCTGAGCAGAATTCAGAGCTTTTTCCCCTCAAAAATCCCCGAAGGAAGGCAGGTTTGGTGTGGAGCGATGCTCAGCATCTCCGTGTTGGAAGATCCTGGGTTCCCCACGTTGCTCAGAGGAGCCTCGTGCTCTGGTTTGGTGATTTCAGCCAAGCACATCACCCACGGCTGCTCAGAACTTCATGAGCCCTGAGCCAGCGTTGGGAGCAGAAGGAAGAAATCCCAGTGGAAACCCTTTGCATTTTGGTGGCTTTGTGTCTCATCTTTCCTCCGTGAGAAGCTGCTTGGGCTCTGTGCTCTCCCAGGCAATAAATAGTTTCAAACTGTGTTTTCCTGGAGGGAAATGGGGATGCTCTGTGGTCCCCTCCCTCCTTTGGGGCTGAGCGAGCAGCACACTCACAGATCTCAATCCCAAGCCCTTATCTTCTGGCTGCATTTGCAACTCCCTGTGCACCCTCTGCATCACGGGACCCTTATCAGCCCCGGCCCGGGGGGTTTCCTCCCCATATCAGTAGAGTTGGGGCAGGGCTGTTGGAGCCGAGGTCGCAGCACGCTGAGCTTTGTGCTGAACACTCCCTTGTCCTGCTGGTCCAGTGCTCATTGTCTCGTCCCCATTGTGTCCCCACAGGTGAGTGATCAGGAAGGGGAAGGTGGGGATTTGGGGCTTGCAGAGGGGGGGAAGCAGTTTGGGAATGGTGCTGTGAGGTTTCCTGTGCAGGGATGCCTTGCTTTGGGATTGCTGTGGCAGTTCCAGGTGTCCCCAGGTCCCCCGAGCAATGGGACAGCCTGCTTTGGGATTGCTGTGGCAACATGGGGTGTCACGAGGTTCCCAATGTTGGGACGTCCAACTTTGGGTTGCTGCAGCAGTGAGAGGTGTTTCCATGATCCCCAACATCAGAGCATCCAACTTCAGGGTTGCTGTGGCAGTGTAGGGTGACGTGAGGTCCCCAACGTAGGGACATCCAGCTGTGATGGTAAGAGTTGTCCCCTGTATTGAGGCATCCCACTGTGGGATTTCTGTAGCAACGTGGAGTGTCGTGAGGTCCCCAACTTGGGGGCATCCATTTGGTAGTGAGAGGTGTCCCCGAGGTCCCCAGTCTTGGGACGTTCTGCACTGGGATGTGGTGTGGGGTGTCCCCAGGGTCCTGCACAGGGCACGACTTCATCCCTGGGGACACTTCATACCCCACTGGAAAGCCCAGCGATGGATTTCCAACCAGTGCCACGCGTCAAACTGGTTCAACTGGTTCAGGTTTGGGTATAGAAAACGTCTCACGTTCACCAGGCTAAAAAGGGGCATTTTCATCCCAAATCACCAACTGGGAAGAACAGCCCAACCCACTAAGGAAGAGGAGAAAGGGGAGGAGGTTGGGGAGGTGCTGTGTTTGATTTATAGAGGTCTGACAGTGAGGGCAATGCCCCGCTGGGCTGCGTGTGGCACAGCCAGCGTCCCACCTCCACGTCCCCCCTGTTTCCCCACCTTTTGGGTTAATTTTTCCTCTTTTTCCATTTTAATCCCTTCTTCTGCATCCCCTTCTCTTGCAAGAACCGCCGTTGCAGGTCAGGAATGACTTTCCATTGATCCTTCCGAGCTCCGATTGAAGTGAGATCACTCCTGGGAAAGGCTGAGCCCTCCTTAAGTTGGTATTTTAATGTTTTATTTATTCTTTTTTTTTTTCTTTCTTTCTTTTTTTTTTTTTTTTTCCTGCTGGAATGAAACTCAAGAGCCCACTCGAGCCCAGCGTCACGCCTGAGAGCTTCGGGGCCGTGTTTGCCTTTGTGCTCAGCTGGGATGTCAAGGGGCTGCAGGTTGGGGGAGATTTTATGCCAAAATACATCCACAGGAGTCACTGAATGTCTGGAATAACAGTGATAGGGGTGCAGCTGTGTTTGGGAATTGTCCCCTCTGTGGCCACAAGAGGTTGGGGACAATGCTGTCCTTGGTTTGGGTCTTAATTGCTGCTGGGAAACAGTTTGGCCGCATCCTGATTTTGATATCTGGCCTAAATCCTCTTAAAAGAGGAGGAAAAGAGGGATAACCTCAAGCTGCACTGCTCTGTGACTCAGTTTCCCCTAGCAGCTCCCTTCCCTGCATTTTGCAGGCTGGAGAAAAAACCAATGGGACTGGGGACAGTGCAGCTCCACAGTGATTTGTTGGGCATGGAATCTGTCCTCGTGGGTGTCCTTGTTCCCCTCTGGGCCATTGCTATCATTAAAGCAGAACTTGTTAGGGCTTTTCCAGGGACATCCCACTGAATGATTGTAAGGTCATCGCAGGTTTGTGCTGCTGCAAGGAAAAACTGCTGGAATGGAATTCCCCAAATTCGGGTCATTTTTTTTTGGGATGGTGGCATGGAGTGCCTTTTTTGTGGAGGGGATGGGAGCTGAGAGACAAAAGGGCAGAGATGAGTTTTGTTTTTTTTTTCACTCAACACAATCTGCAGAGTGCTTGGATAACTGAGGTGCCACGGGGCAATGGAGATGAGGGGAAAAGACAGAAAAGCATCAGTGCTGTGAATGCATCTGATGCTGGGGCACAATGACAGCTCATTTGTGTGGAAAAATGGATAAATTTTACTTTTTTCTGGGAAATTTGAGAGCCTCAGCTCTTCTGCTCATGCTGGATTGGGTCTTTGGGCCTCCAGGAGCAGAATGCTAGATTTGGGTTGGTTTGTGTGGGTTTCTCCTGCCTTGATGACTTCCAAGGAGGCTCTGGTGATAAATGAGGTGACTTTGGTGATAGGTTGCTTTTGTTGTGTTAACCTGAGTGTCCTAGTTCCTCATTGCAAAGTGCTGGAATGTGTTCTGGGGGAAAAACACGTTGGTTTTGCAAGGTGGATCCCAGTAGGAAGTGGGAAATGGTGGGTAGGTCTGGGGCTTGGGTGGGAGGTGAAGCATCATGGCACAGTTCTAGTTCTGAACTTCAATGTATTGGAATGAGTTTTTGGAGTGTTTGGGGTGAAAATGAGTATTGGAATGAGGTTTTTTGGGGGGGAAACGTTGATTTTTTGCAAGGTGGATCTCAATAGGAAGCACTTCAGGGTGGGAAATGGCACTTAGGGTTGGCCATGGGGATTTGCAAGAGCTCTTGGTTGAGTTTGTGTGTCCGTCCTGCTCCAGGTTGGTGGGAGTTTAGTTGGAGACATTAAATGGACCCTCAGAAAGGCAAAGAAATTGGTGTAAGCTCAGCTTTGGGGCCGTGCGGATGCGTAGGGAATGGGGATGGATGCCCACGTAGAATGCATTTGGGAGATCCTTGAGCAGATCCTGGCATGGCCAAAGTTCGGCACGGTTTTATCCCAATCTTTAAGCTTTTTCTTAGTTTGAAACCTCGGTTCTGCTCTACTGAGAGCCTTGTGGTGCTGCTCTCTGGCCCCACGATCCGACCCCAAAGTTGCATCCCACTGCCCCTCTCTGTGTGTAGGATCTTGCACAGTGCTGGAGCGCTCGCTCTGTAGGAGCGTGGAAAATTCAGTAAGGACATTGAGGAGGCTAAAACATACACGACCTACGTTTGTCTGAGATCTGGGGTGGTGTGAAGGTGAGACCTTGAATGCTTTGTCCTTGTTCCTAATTTCAAGGTATTGGGATGAATTTTGGGGGGAAACGCGTCGGTTTTGCAGCACTGATCCCAGCAGGAAGCGCTCCAGGGTGGGAGGTGGTGCTTTGAGTTAGCTGCGGGGTTTTGCAGAGAGCTCTGGTGGCCTCCAACCCTTCTCCCAAGCCCTTC